AATGCGAAATAAGCATCCGATTCTATTAAAATTTCACACATCCAAATATCTCTTCCAACACAAAACCAGTAAGGAAAAGTCAAAAGTCAGGCGGAGCCGACTATATGATACCCTAAACCACTATGCATATTTAGTAGAGCTCCCGTAACAAAATAATTTATTTGAATTATGTGAAGTAGTAATTTGGGCAAAGGTATTTCCGAAATATCATTGTTGTCAAATTCATATTACGAATGTGAGGGACTTTAACACCAAATCGGATGAAAAAATATATATGGGAGCTATAGCTATATCTGAACAGATTTTAACCAAATTTAATTTGATTGCTTCTAGACTGAATTCGGTGGGGTGTACCAAAATTCAGGACTTTTAGACTGATACTGGCCATTTGATGCACAATTAACCCGAAATCGATTGATCCGATTATCACCAATATTACCCTGTTAATATTGGTGATAATCGATAATCCTTGACCAAAAAAATATTTGTTGGAAAATTTTATCTCAATCGGACAATAAATGCGACCTGCGTTTTGTTCACAAGAATACATGGATGAACGGACGGACAGACGGACTGAGATGCATAAATCGACTCAGAAAGTGATTCTATGAAGATCCTCAAAAGTAACTATGAGTCTATCTCACTTCTTTCTCCTTGTTACAAACAAATGCACAAAGACATAATACCCTTACCACTATATGGTGTAGGGTATAAAAAGATATAAAGATTATAGATATCGGCCGACTACTTCTTGTATCTCCCCCACAAATAATTCCTTATTCCGTATTATTTGATTAAAATAAATAAAAAATGGAATTTTTGGAGGTACTTTTGAACATATAAAACAGTTATGTTCACTGGACATTGGGCCAATATCGGAAGGCTACACCAATTTGTGAACCTCTCTGGTCAATACCAATACCAAAAGATTTTCCTAACCTACATTCAATTACCAATAGCCTACTGCATTTTGTTCGGGAACTGGAGTGATTTTTAAAGAGACACAGACCGACTGACATGACGGAATCGATCTGGGGGCCTTTTAACAATACTGCAGAAGTTGGACTGGTTCCCTAAATAAGTGAATCTAAATTCAAAATTCCCAAAGACTAAAATTCACATTTGTCATTACCATTGCGAAAAAAAAATTGGATATTTCTCCATAGCAGAATCAATTCTACAATTACCAATACCTCCTGGACTACCGAAAATCGTACATTTTTCTTTTTCATTGGCCGCTTTGCACATGTAGGAACTATCCACGTCGCCTTCAAAATGATACGTCTTTGATATCTGTGTTTGACTTATTTTATAAAAGCTCATTTATTTTCAAAAAGAATGGTGACATTGTTTTTATTGTTTTTAGAAAAAAACATAACATAACACTCAATGTTGGGAGCCATATTTTTCCGGAGAGAGCTTTCAAAAATGCAATTTCAGTCGATTTTAATGCCATCTATAACTAAAAATTGGGTTTTAATTGGAAAATGCATTTTGTCCTATCTCTATAGTTTTATATCTTTGAAATATTTTAGCCAAGAGTAGTCATTGGTTGTTAACAGCACCTTAACATGTTTGCAATTTTATCAATCCTAAAAGTATGCTTTAATTTTCAACTGTTATTTTTTGGTGTTGCACTTTAAGCGTTTTCCAAATATTTATTGGGTCTAATTAACAATGTTTCATACAGACTATTACAAAATGGTAGAATATTGTAATAGACCTAGAAAGTTGTAAATTTTCGTTGAGGATGGGTACTAAAAGGTAAAAAATGATGTAATACTGCCCAATTTTTCATGTAATTGTTAAACTTGGATAAAATATAGCTAGATTTTGGAATTTCGATACCAGCGATCGATAAGACCCAGAGTGTGAGATAAGATACCATTGGTGTGGTATAAATCTGGGATTCTAAAAATTGATGCCAATCCAGTAATTAATTTATTATCGCTTTGGTTATTCAAACTTTTGAGCCTTTGTGTGGGAGGTACCAAAAGGAGTGGATCGATCTCTACGATCTTTGTAAGAGATCTTGTGTTAATGGAAATATTGAGATGTACCGAGTCAGAATGCAATCGGATGTTAACTCCACGTTTTACGAGCTTCATGGCTATTCCAAATTCTAACCCTTTGTGGGGGAGGTACCAGAAGGAGCTGACCGATGTATTCTATTTTCACACCAGACCGTGCATTAATAAATATATTTTCTCTTTTTCTACAATAAAATATTTTCATTGAAAATGTTGAACTTTTGTGGTGGACGTAAGGAGTGGATGGATATTGCCCATCTCCGAACTCGATTTAAGTGTGATAATAATATTACGATGTACAAAGTTTGAACCAAAGCGGATAATTCCTTCAAGAGTTATCGTGTGCGCCAGCCAGACAGACAGACGGATGATGTCGCTAGCTCGACTCCAAATGCCCTGAAACGGATTTGGCTCAAAGAGACATAAAGTCTAAAACCTTTATTTCGACTAGACACGTTTTGGCTGTATCAAATTAACCATATGGCTAAGGCTATATCAAATAATAATAATAAAATTTTACGCAGATGTATCTTGGGTCTGCTGGACTATTGGTATTGAAAGTGGGCTACATAGGTCTAAGTTTTGGTATAGCCCCCATATAACTGTACCCCCAGATTTAAGGAGTTTCAATTGTTTTTTCCACAATTTCAATCCGAATTTGCAGTTTTTGTTCCCAGTTTGTAGGCAACATATTTGCATAGAACTATCTATAAAGGTTTAATTTGGTTTAGACCCCATATGACGGTACCTCCATACCTCCATTCGGTATTTTGATTATATTTGCCATATATTTCAACAGAATTGTTTCAAATTTGGTATTTGGAGTTCGTAATAGGTGCCGCCTTCTCTGGCAGATAATTGGCTGTAGATGTCTAGGGTTTCGTATAGGTCCCATATAACTGTACCTCCAGATATTCGATATTTTAATGATTTATGTCGCACTTTCACAGGAATTGTTTTAAATTTGGATACTACCTTATATTACAAAAAATTGCCTATAGAGGCCCACATCTTCGTATATCACCCACATATATGTACCTCCCGATATTCGCTATTTTGGCAATATTTTCCATACTTTTCAGCAGAATTATTTAAAATTCGGAATTTGAAGTTTGCAGTGGTTACCGCTTGCTATGACAGAAAATTGCCCACAAACACATTCACGTCTTCGTGTGGACCCCATATAATGGTACCTCCCGATATTCGGATTCTCGATGATTTTAGTTACATTATTCAACAGACTTATGTTAAACTCGGTGTTTGGAGTTCGTAGTAGGCACGGTCCAGGTTTTCGTACAGCCACATATTTCCTAGTATTCGAAATTTTTAGAATTATAGCGGCATTTTCAAATAATTATACCCTACACTACATAGTGGTAAGGGTTGGCCCAAGAACGACCCATTTTGAAATTGGTGATAATTGGATCAGATTTAGATATAGCTCCCATATATCTTCAACCGATTTCGGGTTATTTGTGCACCAATATAAGTCCAAATGACCTGAATTTTGGTACATCCGACCAAATTCAGTCTAGAAGCAATTATGCCGATTTTGGAGAAAATCTGTTCAGATATAGCTATAGCTCCAATATATAGGTTTCATCCGATTTGGTGTTTAAGTTCCTCACATTCGTAATATGCACCCAAGAAGAATGATGTCTGGTATCAGATTCAGCCCAGAAATACCTCTGCCAAATTTAATCGAGATCGATTAAGATTTGGATGTAGCTCCCACATATATCCTCAATCGATTGCGGGTTAATTGTGCACCAAATGGTTTAGAAGTAAGTACTTCAAATTTGATGAAAATCGGCTCAGATATAGCTATAGTTCCCATATTCCGATTTGGTGCTTAAGTCCCTCACATTCGTAATATGCATTTGACAGTAACGGTATTTTGTATCCGATATCTTATAGAGCTTGGAAATACCTCTGCCAAATTTTATCAAGATCGGTTCAGATTTGGATATAGCACCCATATATATCCTCAACCGATTTCGGGTTAATTGTGCACCAAATGGCCAATACCAGTCCGAATGACCTCGGTTTTGGTACATCCGACCGAAATCAGTCTAGAAGCAAGTACATCAAATTTGGTGAAAATTGGTTCAGATATAAATATAGCTCCTATATATATGTTTCTTCCGATTTGGATGCGTAATATGCATTCGGCAACAATCATATTTGGTACCAGATATCGTATAGAGCTCGAAAATACCTTTGATAAATTTTATCGAGAACGGCTAAGATTTGGATATATCTCCCATATATATCCTTAATCCGATTTCAGGTTTATTGTGCGAATAATGGCTAATATCAGCCCAAATGGAGAGAATTTCGGGAAGTACTTTTCCCTTTGGTGGAAATCGGATCCGTAAATATTTTTTTTTTTTTAATAATCCGTTTTGAAGTGATATAATGCACTCTATGGCATTGTTATCTGGTATAAAAGATTAAAATGCCTTCGTCAAATTTAGTGAAAATCGATTCAGAGTTGGATATGCTTCCACTATATTAGTTCCGTCTGAAACCAAATTATAACTTCTCTAAAGCCAAATATTGATAGGTGGTATGATCTACTTCAAATAATGTTTTTTGTTACGGGAGCTCTACTAAATAAGCATAGTGGTGTAGGGTATCATATAGTCGGCCCCGCCCGACTTTTGACTTTTCCTTGCTGGTTTTTATATTTTGTTCAAGTTTCTTCCAAATGGTGGAGGGTATTAAAATGTCGACCCAGCCGAACATACCTTCTTTTTTTACTTCTTTAATTTTTAATGGATATTTATTTTCAATATTTTCACTTTTAAAAATGTAATAAAATATTTTTTTTTTTAATTAAGACCAGCTTTCATTTATTCATTCATTTACTAAAATACATAAATTATAATAAAATTAGAACTAAGAGAAATAAAATATCACAACAAAATAATACTTAATTTTAATTTAATACTTCTTTTTTAGGGGGCGGGGGGGGGGGGGGTCTAACACGATGTGGCACTTGGGTGAGGGGATGTCAGTCAGACTTATAAATGAAAACAAGAACACAAATGAAGATCTAACAAAAGGGGCTTAAAACAATAAAGGGTGGGCTCAGGGGGGAGGGGGAAATCTAACAAAAGGGGCTTAAAATATAAAAGGGTGGGCTCAGAGGTGGGGGGGTGGGGTCGGCACTTTCTTTCTGAGGACCTGGGATATGAACTTAGGCTGCGGGAAAGGTTTCCATTCCATTGAGACTCCAGCGATTTGAAATCCATAAAATAAACTCCAACTCTGTACAACTTCTAGGCAGGGGAAGGGGGATGGGTTTGACCCTGATCTTGAAATAATATCTAATTTAAATTTTAATTCCAACAGTCGTAGAACTTCTCTCTTAGAAACGGTTTATTTCCAATTTATTTTTGTTGACCTCTCGAATGACGGGAATTTCGACACGGCTATTTGGGGGAAGGGGGAGAGGGAAATTTATTTGATTTATATTTATTTTTTTTTTTAATTTTACAACAAAAATATACAAACACACAAATACACATAACGGGGATATACAAACACAGTTACAATATATTTTTCTTTTTTGGTTTTGATCATCAAAATGTTGATTCTCGGGACACATGGTTTTTGGATGATGTTTCGGACCCAGTCCCCTTAGGTTTGGATTTTTTTTTCCTTGGCTTCAGACCTTAAACTCTATGAAATGTTGGCATACCGGACACACACATGAAGGCTATATACAATAGAAATATTTAGATATATTGCAAAACAACCACACATATAGCAGAAACCAATAACCCAGCAAACAAATTTACAAATGTTTCATAAATACATGGATTTTTTTTTTCGTTATATATCAAAAAAAAAATATATATTAAACTTTATTGATAATTTAGGTGACAAATACATACAAATACACGTACATATGTAAAAAATGAAAGCATATAAAAATGATTTAAATACAAAGTTTTTTTGGGAATAAATGCATTTCTAAGAAGTCAAGAGGCAAACATGGTTAAAAGGGACAAATTTGAGGTTCAGGTTATATCTCAAGACCAAGAAGGCCCATGGATGCAAAAAATATATTTTGATTTCCTGCTATTCCTTCTAACCATGTTTTGCTGTATCCCTTTTTGAAATCTGTGACGATATTAAATGCATTACTATTTTTGAAAAAAAAAATATTTCCAATTATTTTTTTTTTAATTTTGTTCTTTTTTTGGCACCCCTAAAGGGGGGTTTTGAAAGGTGGGGAATGCTTTGAGACTGAATTTGATTTTTCTATTTCTTTTCTATTTTTGGCGTTTTTTTTTTCAATAAAATGCAACTTAGAACTATTGTATACAAATATTATTAATCTTTATATATATAACACTGATATTATATGAGAATTCAATTTTTTGTTGTTCTTGTTTTTTTTTTTTTTTTTTTTTTGCTTCTCATCACCATTTTGAGACATTGAACGACACATGAAACTCAAACGAAGGATGGAAGAAATAAAAGACTTAAAAGCAAAAAAAACACAATTTACGTTCTGAAAATGGAAATGGTGTCCATCAGGAAGACAGCCCCATTGATGATCATCAGAGAACCGGCAGCCAAGGCATTGCGTTTGCTTTCCTTGAACAACAGATCGGATCTATCGTGCCATTGATCAATGATCAAGGCGCCCGAGATGACGAACAGAACACAGCCAATGATGGAGAAAAGGCCGTTCAAACGTTTCTCAACCACAGAGTTGATGACATGGCCTTTAAGAGAATAAAAAAAGAGAGGGAGAGAGGGAATTTAAATATTATTTAAAAAAAAATTGGAAATTTTTAAATTTTGAAATATCTTACCAATCAAAATGACGGCACAGATAACGGCATAACCGCCCATGGTACCGCAAACAATCAAGGCATTGCTGGAGAAATTGCCGCTTGTCTCCCAGAGAACAATGCAAACGACGGCAATGACCTGGAAGAGAAAGAGAGAAAGGAAAAGAGAGTTATTATTTTAATTGCATTAAAAAGGGGGAATTATTAGATTTTCAAAGACGTTATATCATTTTTTTCTTATATTTAAAGGACCCCTAGTCCTTATTAATTGTAGATTTTTTTAATTTATTTTTCAAAGACCAACAGATTTTTAAAACATAATTTTTAAACATAATTTTTTTAAGAACCTCTTGCGATTTATAGTAAAATTTTGTCTAGAATATTTCTTCTTTTGACACTTTCCGCTTAAAATGAAATTTTACGTAAAAAAAAAAACAAAGAAAAAATTCTCAAAATATTAGGAAATATTTTCGGTGTTTATTTATACCCTCCACCATAGTATGGAGGGTATATTAAGTTTGTCATTCCGTTTGTAACACCTCGAAATATACATTTTAGACCCCACAAAGTATATATATTTCTGATCAGCATAAAATTCTAAGTCGATTCAGCAATGTCCGTCCGTCTGTCCGCCTGTCCGTCTGTGAAAATCACTCTAGCCTCCGAACGAATTGAAGTAGATTGATAAAATTTTGCTCAAATGTATGTTATGTCTGCAGGACGTTTGGTATTGAAAATGGGCCATGTAGGTCTACGTTTTAATATAGCCCCCACCTCCCGATATTCGGTATTTTCATGATTTTAGCGGCATATTCACCGGAATTGTTTCAAATTTGGTATTTGAAGTTCGTAATGGATACTACAGCCTAAGACAGAAAATTGTCTGTGCAGGTCTACGTCTTCGTATAGCCCCCATATAACGGTTCCTCCCGATATTCGATATTTCGATCATTTTAGCGTCATTATTTACCAGAATTGTTTCAAATTACGTATTTAGAGTTCGTTATGAGAACTACAGTCTGTGACAGAAAATTGTCTATGCAGGTCCAGGTTTTCGTATAGGCCTCATATATCAGTACCTCCCTATATTCGATATTTTGATGATTTTAGCGACATTATTCACCGGAAGTGTTTCAAATTTGGTATTTGAAGTTCGTAATAGATACTACAGCCTAAGATAGAAAATTGTCTTTGCAGGTCCAGGTCTTTGTATAGGCCCCATATATCAGTGCCTCCCTATATTCGGTATTTTGACAAGTTTATGTGCAATACAAACCGAAATTGTTTGAGATATCGCATTTGAAGTTCGTAATGGACTCTACAGCCTGTGACAGAAATTTGTCTATGCAGGTCCAGGTCTTCGCACAGCTCCGATATAATGGTACCTCCCTATATACGATATTTTGATGATTTTAGCAACATAATTCACCGTTTATTTCAAGTTTCGAATTTGAATATGGTAATGGCTTATGATAAACAAGCCCTATATAGGTTCACGTCGTAGAGACCACAATATAACGGCTATATTCGATATTTTTAAGATTTTAACAAAATTTTTTAACAGATTTAATTTTTTTTTTAAATTTCCAAATTCGTTCGGAATGGTAGAGGGTACTTAGAGTTGGTCCCAGCTGAACTGTTCTGTCTCTCCTATTGAGATTTATAGTGAAATTTTCTCTAAAATATTTCTTTTTTTGACATTTTCCGCCTAAAATGAAAATTTATGTTATTTTCATACGTCGACTCGAAAAAAGTCCAAAGAAAATATTTTCCAAAAAATTAGGAAATATTTTCCGTTTTTTTTTTTTTTTTTTTGTGAACATAAATGCCAATATTTTCTTGATAAATAATGGAAACAGAGATTTATTTTCTTAAGTAACTTGTATTGAAATTTGATCTTAAATATTTCTTCCTTTGACACATTCCCCAAAAAACGAAGTATTGAGGGAGATTTCGACATACGTTGAAAATAGTGTTAAATAAGCAGTAAAAAACGCAAACAAATACTTTTCGAGGGTAATGTATAAATTTGGAATATAATTTTCTTAAAAACTATTATACCTAGATATATGATTGTTCATGAGATTTATAGTGAAATTTTGTGTAAAAGATTTCTTCATTTGACATCTTCTGCCTAAAATGAAAATTTATGTTATTTTCAGACGTCAACTCAGAAAAAGTCCGGGAAAAAATTGATTAAAAATTAGCAAATATTTTCGAGATTTTATTTTGGACTTTTAATTTTTTTTGATATGCAGTGGGTATAGAGATTTCTTTTCTTTGGTGACTTATAGTAAAATTTGGCGGGAAACATTTTTTTCTTTGACATCATGTTTCTAAAATTATGCTTTGCTGGAGATTTTTGCACAAACTCACACAAAGTACGGCTTTAACCCTAAATTGCTCTTTAATATATATGAATTTGTGGCGTTTAGGTAAGACTATTGACGTCTTCTAGGACCTATAGTAAAATTTTATGACAAATAATTTACTAGAATATTTTGTTTTGCTACGATCATGTTTAAGGGGAGTTTTGACCCATATTTTAAAAAATGGACAGAAAAGACCCCTTTGTTGACTCGCTTGAGGGTTAAAATTTTCGACCCAAATATTCGCCGTAATTTTATCTGCAATATTGCCGAAGATACTATATAATTAAAATGAAGGGATTCGATCCTACGATCCCGTTTAAGGGGAGTTTTAAACCATATTTTCAAAAATGGACAAAAAAAGACCCCTTTCTTGGCGCGATTAAAATTAAAATTTTCAACCCAAATATTCGCCGTAATTTCACCTGCATTATTGGCAAAGACCCTAAATACCTAAAATGCACGGATTCCGAGGTATCTTAATCCGAAAGTTTCCAAAAGTGTGGAAGAGGGGAGAACTTGCCCCGTCTATTTTGTTAACCTTGTGATGTAAACTTTCAAAACGCCGATTCGCGTGTCTTCTCTTTTATTAACTCTAATTTTATAATCTTCTGGATTTTTCCTCGTAATTATTTTTTGTGCGGCACAGTGTTTCAAGGACCAGCAAATCCTTAATCCTGAACTTTTTTCATAGATTTTATTAGAGTTTCCATAAATTGTTCAAATATTTTTTTTTTCATAATTCTCAAATTTTATTTCGATTATAAATTTCCAAAAAAAAAATCCATTTCACACACATTTCAATGATATTTCAATATACAAAATATATCAATTAAAAATACGGCACCATTCACAATGGCTATGGAGCCGGCAATAAATAAATAATTTCTATCCTCGGTCCGCGAATAACTTGGAACCCATTGTTCAATAATAACTGCCCCAGAGGCCACAAATAATATTATGGCAGCAAAATTTAGCAAAATCGCAACACGTTTATCGAACACAGCTTCAAGGAGGAAACCTAAAAAGAGGTTTGAAATAACAACCATTCTCCAAAATATTATTGCCGAAGAAAAATAATTACCAATAACCAAACAGGTTCCCAATATCAAGTAACCACTCAAGGTTCCACACACCAGCATGGACTGACTGCTATAGCTAAGATCCGTCACACATTCGATCAAAACAATGGAAATTGTGGTAAACATCTGGGTGGGGTGGGAAATATTCCAAATTATTATCAAGGAATCCAGGATGAATTTTCATTCAAAAAAAATTGGAGACTTACATGGACGAGATACTGGAGAAAAGTCAGAATAAAGTTTTCACATTTTCAGAACACACACAAAAAGTTTTGAGCAAAAGAAGTAGAAACTCGAAAGAACATTGAGAGAGAACATAATCCAAAGTCCAAGAAAAAACTCTGAAGAAGGCTAGGAAACCTAACCTAGGACTTCTAAAATTCACAAGAAGGAAAAAAACGCGAAAAAAGAATAACATTGACAGCACTGGTTAATAGGAAAAAATATAGTTTGTTTATAAAGGATACTCAAGAGAAAAGCAACATTTCATAGGGGGACATGCACTGAAAGAATATGAGGAAAACTGTATTAAAAAGAGAAAGAGTAGCACTCTTTTTGAAATGAATTTAAACCAGGGCTAGAGAAGAGTAGACACTTCACTGAGAGTAATTTTCTCTACACTCACAATCAGGGCCATTTAAAAACAATGTAATCAGAGAATAAAGAAATTGGGAGAATATAAATGTGCAACTCTCTGTCCAGCCTTTTTCAAAAGGGAGCCGACATAAACCACTCATAAAACCTTCAAGAAATCTTTTCTGCAAAGATATCTCACAAGGCCTCTAATAAATAAGATTGTACTTTACAGATCCTTAAAGGAAATTAAACACTTTAAAGTTCCATTGTTGATTAAAGAATTTCAATAGACCATCTCTTAGCTGGTTTTCTCTGAAGAGATGACATTTTAGAGATTTTCTGTAAAAAGATCTCCTAAAGGTCCTTCCCTAGCTAGGGAAGGATTATATGTATATAATATACTATAGTTTTCCTCTTCATAAAAACAGCTGATAAATTTCCAAATAATTCGAAATTCAATATCAATCCTAAAGACATCTTTCTCCCTTCCACTCTCTCTCTCTCCCTCTCTTCGCGTCGACCACTCAGACGTTATGTTTACACATCAATTATCTGACCACATGCCTTTTGTCAATGAAGTTCAACGCTATGGTCGAGGGGTATTTCACCAATGGATTTTAAGTATCTGCAAATATTGTACAGCCCCCTCCCCCCAACCACCCAGCTCAGATTCTAGTCAAACTATTCAGCGATAAGATTCAAGTGTCATTTGAAGAAATTTGCTGTTTTCCCCTGTGCAGTCAATACCCTCAGTGTGGCTGTTTGTCTGTCTGCTTTCCTATGTGAATTGAATGAATGACCAACCGACGGAGAGGCAAACATACCCAGCCCTTCAGCAACAATAACTTACTTTTATCGTCTGATTGTCGAAGAGTGATTTTAGTGGTTTAGTTTCCATAATTCCCCTAAGACTCAGACACTTCAATTTGAAAACAAAATCGTTGAAAATGTATTCAAGTTCTTGGGGTTTTTGAGTCTTTTGGGGAATTAGTCAAAATGTTGCAGTTTTTTGCTTTCTGTGCCTTCTTTTTGTCAATTTATATAAGTCAGTGTATCAAGCGTGACTACTGAATGGGTTGCAAAGTGTTGCTAAGAAACAGCAGCAGAATTGT